CCGGGTGTTGTGGCGGGCGCCTGTAGTCCCAGCTACTCGAGAAGCTGAGGCAGGAGAATGGCGTGAACCCGAGAGGCAGAGCTTGCAGTGAGCTGAAATCCGCGCCACTGCACTCCAGCCTGGGCGACAGAGCGAGACTCCGTCTCAAAAAAAAAACCAAAACAAAACAAAAGTTACTTTGAAGACTGACATTTAAAGAAAAAGACATGATGTGAGAGAATGACCATGGAATTAGTGGTTGAAGAGCCAAGTGCAGAGGCTTATGATGTGGAAGGTTGCCTGCTATCTTGGAGAAATATAGCAAGGAAATCAGAGTAACTGATGGTGTCAGCTAGGAGAGTAACAAAAAATGAAGTGAAGTCAGAGAGAGGATAGAGGCGACAAATGCTGTAGGACCTTGTGGAAACCATGCAAGAAGTTTGGTTTCTATTCGTCATGAGATGAGAAGTCATTTGGAAGATTATGAGGTTCGTATGATATGATTGAGATTTTAAAACAAGGTTTACACTGATTACTGTGTTGATTGATTTGGAAGAGCCAGTAGGCGGAGGATCAGTTAGGAGGGTTGAAGAAACCATTTGAGAAAAGATAGTGACTTGGACTAGATTGAGTGTAGTTAAGGTGGTATGAAGTGGTTGGATTCTGCCAATAGGATTTCATAACTGGGGCTGGTCACGGTGGCTCACGCCCATAATCCCAACACTTTGGGAAGCTAACGTGGGTGGATTATCTGAGTTCAGGAGTTCGAGACCAGCCTGGCCAACATGGTGAAACCCTGTCTCTACTAAAAATACAAAAAATTAGCTGGGCGTGGTGGTGCACGCCTGTAATCCCAGCTGCTCGGCAGGCTAAGGCAGAAGAATCTCTTGAACCCAGGAGGCGGAGGTTGCAGTGAGCCGAGATCACGCCATTGCACTCCAGCCTGGGCGACAAGCAAAACTCCATCTCAAAAAAAAAAAAAAAAAAGAATTTCGTGATTGGATATGAGGTGTGATAAAAAGAAAGGAGTTTAGCATGAGTCTGAGAGTCTGAGGATTTAGGACTTAGGAGATAGGGAAAGAGCAGGACTCAGTTTTGAACGTGTTAACTCTGAGATGCCTGTTGAGTCTAGGCTAGGCACAGTGGCCCAGGCCTGAAATCCCAGCATTTTGGGAGGCCAAATTAGGAGTATTGCTTGAAGCCAAAAGTTTGAGATTCAGCCTGTACAGTACAGTGAGAGTCTTCTGTCTCTACAAAGAGTTAGCACAATTTAAAAAAAAAAACAGAAGTCTGAGATGTTGAGTGAGCAGTTAAATGTGCAAGTCTGAAATGATGTTGCTTGATTTCTTAATATTGAATGATTTTGATATTCAGAAATAAATCCCTAGTGCTCATGATATGTTTATATTTGTTGTTAATTTTGTGTTTGTCTGTTTGTTTCTTTTTGAGATGGAGTCTCACTCTGTCCCCCAGGCTAGAGTACAGTGACGCGATCTCGGTTCACTGCAACCGCCGCCTCCCGGGTTCAAGCGATTCTCCTGCCTCAGCCGCCTGAGTAGCTGGGACTACAGGTGCCCTTCACCATGCCCGGCTAATTTTTGTATTTTTAGTCTTAGAGACAGGGTTTCACCATATTGGCCAGGCTGGTCTCAAACTCCTGACCTTGTGATTCGCCCGCCTCAGCCTCCCAAAGTGCTGGAATTACAGGCATGAGCCACCACACCCAGCCTTGTTTTTTTTCTTTTAAGAGAGTGATTCACTCTGTCTCCCAGGCTGGAGTGCAGTGGACATGATCACTGTAGCTCTTCACTCCTGGGCTCAAGTGAGCCACCTCAGCCTCCCAAATAGCTAGGGCTGCACGTGCACACCACCTGTTGTGATACTTTTTAAAATTTGTTTTCTTACTTTAATACACAATATTGTGTGTGTTCTTACTGTTTTTAACTTAAATGAATTCATGCAGATGATTTGGCATCTTGTTTCAGTGAAAGAATGTGTGTGTGTGTACACTTAAGTTTGTCTACAGGATAGATTCTTAGTGTGGATTTGTGCAACATGGGTATGAATTCAAGTTTTCTTTCAAAAATTTTCTAAAGTGTATACTTTAATAAGTATTAAATATATTTTTGGCCGGGTGCGGTGGCTCATGCCTGTAATCCCAGCACTTTGGAAGGCCGAGGTGGGCAGATCACGAGGTCAGGAGATCGAGACCATTCTGGCTAACAATGGTGAAACCCTGTCTCTACTGAAAAAACAAAAAACAGAAAAAGTAGCTGGGCGTGGTGGTGGGTGCCTGTAGTCCCAGCTGCTTGGGAGGCTGAGGCAGGAGAATGGTGTGAACCTGGAAGGCGGACCCGTGCCACTGCACTCCAGCTTGGGTGACAAAGTGAGACTCCGTCTCAAAAATAAATAATAAGTATTAAATATATTTTTATATACTCCTCGGGTTCTATTAATACTTTACAGTTTTTAATTAAAAAATGAGATTACTGTTTAAGTTGCATGTGTACATATACCCTTTTGTCAAGTTACAAGTAGGATTCTACCCTTTATTCTATTTTTTTAATTTTTAAATTTTTTTGGAGTTGGAGTTTTGCTCTTGTCGCCCAGGCTGGAGTGTGGTGGTGCAGTCTCGACTCACTGCAACCTCTGCCTCCCAGGTTCAAGCGATTCTCTTGCCTCAGCCTTTCAAGTAGCTGGGATTACAGGTGCCCACTACCACGCCCAGTTTTTTGTGTTTTTAGTAGAGACGGGGTTTCACCATGTTGGCCAGGCTGGTCTTGAACTCCTGACCTCAGGTTATCCACCCACCTTGGCCTCCCAAAGTGCTGAGATTACAGGCATGAGCCACCATGCCTGGCCTGTTTTTTTAAATTTTTTTCAGACAGGATGTTAGTCTTTTTCCCGGGCTACAGTGCAGTGGTTATAGTGGCTCACTATAACCTGAACTCCTAGGCTTAAGTGATTGTTCTCCGTCAGCCTCCTGAGTAGCTGGGACTAAAGGCATGCAATACCATACTGGGCTAAGTTTTTTTTCTTTCTTTCTTTTTTTTTTTTTTTAAAGAGATGGAGTCTTACTGTGTTGCCCAGGCTAGTCTCTGACTCTTGGCTTCAAGCAATTCTCTCTCCTACCTCAAAGTTTTGGGATTACAGTTGTGAGTCACCACGCCGAGCCACATCTGTTGAGTTTTGTTGTTGTTGTTTTGAGATTTAGTCTCATTCCGTCGCCCAAGCTGGAGTGCAGTGGTATGATCTCGGCTCACTGCATCCTCTGCCTCCCAGATTCAAGCGATTCTCCTGCCTCAGCCTTCCGAGTAGCTGAGATGACAGGTTCCCACCACCACGCCCAGCTAATGTTTGTATTTTCGGTAGAGTTGAGGTTTCACACATGTTGGCCAGGCTAGTCTCAAACTCCTGACCTCAAGTGATCCACCTGCCTTGGCGTCCCAGTATTGACTTTGACTTAAGTGATACACTCTAGCCGTAAAATGGAATGTTAAATGTTCCATATGGAGAGCTAGTTGACGTCATGGGTCAGTTTCTAGTCTCTCTCTTCTATTTGCTGTACCTGCTGGAGTGAGTTAATCTCTTTTGAATATTGAAAGTGTCAGTATAATTTTTAGATCCTAACCAATTTTCCTGAATCCTCCCACTCACCTACTCTGTGATCTCATTTTCATTTCTACCTACTTATTTCTCTTTACCTCAAAATGTCATCCTCTCCAGAAAACCAGTTCTTATTACACAGATACAGGGATTTTTTTCCCCCAAAACAATACCAGTTAATGTTGTCTATACAAAAGTAGCATGCCTAGTTGGTATCACTCCCTTTCAGTGGTCTCTACCTCTGTGTGATTTGCCCAGTCTAACCTTTAAAAGACCTTATTTGCGTGCCACCTCTCTGTGGTTGCAATAGAATGTTGGGGGAATGTTGATAAAGACCACATTGTTCTTATATATATCTTTCTCTTACACAAATCCATAAAAGGCTTTCGAGATGTCTCTGCTGAAAATAAATGGAGCTCTAGTAACTACTGAGCTTGCTCCTTGGATGCCTTCTTATAGTGCCATTCAACATGCAAGTATTTTTTTTCCGGGCCTGTGTGTCCAGGTGACTTTATGAGTTAGGCTTTGGCAAATGCCATACTTGTTCATCCTAACACTAGAATGTAGGGATCCTGCATTCAGCATGACCTGAAGTTTGCTCAAAGCATAAAATTGTAGATGTTCGGTTTTTTTTTTTTTACAGAATTCAATCTTTTGAAGACTTAAATTAGTTCATATTTAACTCTGGACTTAATGTGGAGAAGTTATCAATTATTCTGCCCACATGTGCACAAAGGAAGTTTAATGGAAATAATTTCTATCCCTTTGGAATTAATCTAACATGAAGACTATGAAAGTGAGCATTTGCTATACAAAATGTTATTTCGTTACTTAGGTATGAGCTTTGTAACAGTGGATTTTAGGCCAGGTTAAAGAGTAGTTAATAAGTTACTTACAAGTTACAAGCTTCAGGGAAGCTTGCCACCTGGCTTGAAACCACCTGAAAGTCTTTTGAAGAGGAGGTGTGAAAAGAAGAGAAGAGGTGTGGTTGGTAATTGAAGGCTCCCAGGTGGATACATTTGCTGAAGAAAGCGAGTAATGTCCCACCTGGGAATCGGGAGCCAACTATTCGCCTTAGCAGACCATGAAGGTCGTGAAAGCATGCAGATTTTATAAAGTGTTCTCAAAAAGCACAGTTTTAATATCTTTTTAAGCTGTCAGAAGTTTGATACCTAGGTAAGCACTTAGAGCTTCAAGTAGTTAGATTTCATCAATGAAAAGGAAGCAAGTTTCCTTACCCACTTTTGAAGGTCAGTGTGTTAGACAAATGGAAATATTTTAACAAACTAATCAAACATCCTTTTAGTAGTATCATATAAGTATCTAGAAAGGTCTTCTCAATCTTTGGAATAACAAATGGGGAGCTGGCTTTTTATCAGATGCTGAATTGTCAGTTTTGTTTGACTTTTTCACAGGTTCACCGGAACAGCACAATCCGCCCTGGCTGTGATGTGAATCCCTCCTGTGCGTTGTGTGGTTCAGGCAGCATCAACACTATGCCTCCCGAAATTCACTATGAAGCCCCTCTGTTGGAACGTCTTTCCCAGTTGGACTCTTGTGTTCACCCTGTTCTAGCATTTCCAGATGGTAAGAAAGACCACAGACTAGAAAGTCTAATAAGAGAGACTTGAGAGAGTTCTAGGTGAAAGAAAATCAGCCAAGGTCCAGTTACAACTCAGATACTTTCAAGGTACAACTTTCATCAACCAAGTCTTCTCTTAGAATTTTACAAAAAGGCTGCAACAGATCCACCAAACCAGAAGGTGCCACTAAAAGATTGCAACTTAATATGAGATTTCCTTGTAACTCTCCAAGTAGCTAGGAGAGATCTGGGCTCAGTTGCCTCTAGCCACAGTCATCTGGTCCAAAATATGCTTAGTATATCTTTAAAAATGTTTTGTCTAGGCCAGGCGTGGTGGCTCACGCCTGTAATCCCGGCACTTTGGGAGGCTGAGGCGGGCGGATCACCTGAGGTCAGGAATTCTAGGCTAGTCTCTACTAAATACGAAAAATTAGCCAGTAGTGGTTGTGCCTGCCTGTAATCCCAGCTACTTGGGAAGCTAAGGCAGGAAAATTGCTTGAACCTGGGAGGCAGAGGTTACAGTGAGCCAAGATTGCGCCATTGCACTCCAGCCTGGATAACAGAGCAAGACTCCATCTCAGAAAAAAAAAGTTTTGTCTGTGTGTGCCATGATATAAAGTAGGATAGCAGTGTTCTAGGAGAATATCTTCATACTGGCATTTATGTGGTAACACGACAGCTTTGCAGGGTGTAGATAAGCACAACTCTTCATTGTTAGCTTGTACTGGCTTTAGAAAGTTTGCCTACCTGTTAAATCTGTGTCTGACAACCCTCCTTTCCCACCTCCCTTCCCATACCTGTACCTCTCCCACTTGACAAAAGAAGAGCATTCCTCTTGGCCATATTGAATCTCACTATGGGTCTTGCCCCAGATTGTAAAAATCTTGAGGCTAGGTGTTGTGGCCCACGTCTTTAATCCTGTCACTTTGGGAGACCGAGGCAGGCAGATCACTTGAGGTCAGGAGTTCGAGACCAGATGCGGTAGCTCACGCTTGTAATCCCAACTTTGGGAGGCCAAGATCACAAGGTCAGAAGTTCGAGACCAGCCTGGCCAACATGGTGAAACCCCATCTCTACTAAAAATACAAAAATTAGCTGGGCGTGGTGGCACATGTCTGTAATCCCAGTTATTCGGGAGGAGAATCGCTTGAACCTGGAGGCAGAGGTTGCAGTGAGCCAAGATCACGCCATTGCACTCCAGCCTGGAGACAGAGCAAGACTGTCTCAAAAAAAAAAAACAAATAAAGAGATCATTTCTAAGAGTTCTCAGCACCTGAAGGAGAATCTCCCAGGTATTAAGTAAAAAGGTTTTGAGTTTTAAAAATAAAATGAAGATAGAGATAACTCAGGAGTTCTATCAACCAAGTTTTCTCTTAGAATTCTCCAAAAAGACTGCAACGGATCTACCAAACCAGAGGGTGCCACTAAACGATTGCAACTAATTGACAGTTGATCAAACATTAGATAATTGTAATCCCCTGTTGTGCATCTGTTCTTCAAATGATTGCATTTCTGGCCACCTAAATCCAGTAGATACCGGGATTTTTGGCTTTTGTTACCAACGCCCCCTCTGACTGTGATAAGGATGTGGTATAATATTCCTGCGGCTGTGTGATTTCTTGTAAGAGAAAGGAAACAGAAAACCTGGAACACATGGATAGTCAGCAGTTGGTGGAACGGTAAATAAACTTGAACACAATGAGTGGAAAACACTAAAACATTTTCCTCTGTGTTTCAGATTCCAGAGTCACTGACTTTTACCTTCCCCTGCCATTGGATTTATATAGCCCATGTAACTGCAGTTACTATGTGTATAGCATTTTACAGTTTATAGTACTCTTCTCATACTTGTCTCATTTGCTGCTTTCAATTTTTTTTTTTTTTTTGAGACCGTTTCGCTGTGTTGCCCAGGCTGGAGTGCAATGGTGCAATCTCGGCTCACTGCAACCTCCGCCTCCCAGGTTCAAGCAATTCTCCTGCCTCAGCCTCCTGAGTAGCTGGGACTACAGGCACATGCCACCACACCCAGCTAATTTTTGTACTTTTAGTAGAGATGGGATTTCATCATATTGGCCAGGAGGGTTCTCGAACTCCTGACCTCATGATCCACCCATCTTAGCCTCCCAAAGTGCTGGGATTACAAGCATGAGCCACCGCACCTGGCTTTTTTTTTTTTGGGACAGAGTCTCACTCTGTCATTCAGGCTAGAATGCAGTGGTGTGGTTTTTGGCTCATTGCAGCATTGGCCTCCCAGGATCAGGTGATGGTCCCACTTCAGTGGGTAGCTGGGACTGCAGGTGCATACCACGATGCCTGGCTAATTTTTTGCATTTTTAGTAGAGAAGAGGTTTCCCCGTGTTGCCCATGCTAGTCTCAAACTCTTGGGCTCAAACAGTCCACCTATCTTGGCTTCCTAAATTACTGGGATTATAGGCATGAGCCACCATGCCCGGCCCAGAAATTTTGTAAGGTGTTACTTCAGTTTTAGTGCTCAAGGAACAGGCTTGGTAAGGTTGTGGCTTACCTAAAACTAAATGGCTGATGAGTTTGAATGCCGTCACAGTTCAGACCCAGATATCTGATGCCTGTCCTTCCTTTGGCTATATTTCAAGTTCCTTTCCAGACAGATTATTAAGAGAAGTCAGATTTTTACCCTTTTCGGGATTCTGGCTACAGACAGCACCACCAGGAAGACTTAGGAACATTTGTTGGGTTACTCTCTGAAATACGGTGTTGAACTGTACAGTCTCATACTTGAAGGACAGGAAACCCTGACACTTAAGCGCACTCATTGGATATCACCTGCTAAACACAACAGTCATTTCTTTATCAACAGCATTACCACATACAGTTGCAAATAATCTCCCCCACCCTCAAATATACCCAGACCGTGTGTCTCTCAGCTCCTATTCCATTATTTAGCATCTCTACTAAGAGGTTCTATTTCCTTTGAACACTTTCTGTCTTGCTGACTGCAGGACACTATAGATCTGACGTCATTGCTGCCCTACCGCATACCTTAGACGTCCCACACTATCATTCCAGGCAACTATAGGCAGCAATGAGGGGGAATGGAAAGAAGGATAGGGAACACTCCCCGTTTTCTGGTCTTTATGATTTTTATTTTCCTTCATCTAATCCTATTTGTTTTTCTGTCTATGTCTCACACACATACAAAGAGCTTCTAACTGTGGCCCTGGGGTTTGGATGAAAAAGTTCGTCATTAAATTTTCCTTATGAGACTATGGTGACAGAGAGAGATTTTTTTTTTTACATGTAGGCTCTATTGACTACTGTATTTGCCTGTGGATTAACTACACCTCAGTTGGTTGACCTGAAGACCTGATTACCATATCTAATATTGTTCCTGTTGGAATAATTCTGCTTTGATCCAGACAACTGTCACATTCAGAATGCAATCCATTTGGAAATCAGAAGATTCCCATGGTTGCAGAGATAGCCAACTCCAAAGGGCACCATTCACATAATATCCTGTGTAAATAACACACCCCCTAAAGTATTGGGATTCCTTGTACATCATTGTATAGCAGTGAGTAACAGTGAAGGCTAGCAGCTTGGCATACTACTGTGTGGGTCAAACATTTGTGTGGTAGATTTTACTACTGGGCCACCCTTTATAACCTCTTCTCTAGAAGATGTTTAAAAGTGGCAGGATTTCCCACCTTTTTTTTTTTTTTTCCATAAGAAGATTAAAAATTATTTTGACTCAATTCCTGTGGATGGTTAGTTACATTTATACCAAACATAAATGCGGGAAATTGTTTGAATGTGATACTTAGCTATTCACAGATTTTTTTTAAAGTAGTTTTAATGCTTTTTCCTAACCAGTTTGTGTAGTTTGTTAGAATGACAACAACCAACTGCTGCTCTTCATCATGGAGTTGTGCCTTGCACCTTGACTGTACCCCAGCCACTTTTCATTAAGTGTGTGTAGGTGATAGAAGTTGAGGGACTGTGTTACAGCCAACTCTACGCCTGGCTGTGGAAGGTGGAGAGACTAGGATGTAATAACCTATTAGTATTCCAACAGGAAGGGGGCTTTGTTTTACCACCTCAAGTAATCAAGTCCAGTTAATCCTTAGTTGGAAATGTAGAGGATATATAACCTTGGAGAACAGCTTGTTAACTTTGTAAAAGGGGCTTAATAAGAGCACCACCTGCTGGCCATGAAGATCTATGGTATTTTGAGAGAACTTGCCAAACCCTGCATATGAGGCTACGGCAACTTCCCAGCAGGAGGAAGAAGTGAGCATTACAAAACACCCAGAAAAAGTGCGCCTGAGAAAATGGTGGAAAGTAAGGAGCCAGACAGCCAGGTGAATCATGGAATGTCAGACCCTAGTCATCCTGAAGTCAGGGTCTTCTCATTCATCTTTCATTTTGTTTGAGGAAACAATAACTTAAGTAATTTACTAATGACATTAGTAATTCATCTTATTTTCCTGTTACTTACCTGACAAGGATCTGTACCCTGTTCTCTGAAAATAGCAGTTTACATATGTGGGTATGGAATGTAGGAGAATGGATGTAGGAGAATGGGTATGGAATGTAGCTGAATGGATCTCTGGTGGGTTCTCTTCCATTTCATATCCCTTTCTTTGCTTACTTTCAGGTCCCGTATCCAGTCTATTTTAGATTTTTAACTCTTTACAAAACCTACGTATTATCACTTATTAGTATGTGAATTCGACCAGCAATTCCTAAGAGATCTTTTTTTTTTTAACTGACTGGGGGATTTAACTGGGTTCCTATTCACTCTTAACATGGAAGCAATTAAAGGCAACACAGCAAACATCTAACAAAGTCTACCAGCTGGAGTTCCTTAAACTATTTATACCGGGTTTAAAGAGGAATTGCTCTTGATTCTGCTTAATACGTCAACTCAAGAGCGCAAGGTAGTGTTCCATGACTTGAGTTCTACAATGTGCCAACTTGCACTTAAGAGCATTTAGCTAAGAGGAAGGGTTTAGGAGTAAAGTTCCAGTTGAAGAGTCATTGACTCAACATGTTAGAGTTGAGAGACTCATAGCAGTCATATAATCTAGCAGTAACAAATAGATGTCCTTTCTTGTGCCTACTTATATGAATTGATAGTAACTGTCTGGAGTTATTTAATGTATTGTTTGGGAAGAATCTGAGGTCTCCAGTACAACAGGAAAGACAGCTGTGTTTGGAGCGGAGGGTTAGAGAATGAATGCTAGAATGTTGCCAGCCCTGATCTAGCCCCACCGCCTCATTTCACAAGTAGAACGAAAGTCCGGCCGAATGATTTGTTGTTGCTTTCTCCTTCTACTCAGAGATAGAACCAGGACCTGAATCCAGGCCTACTTGTTTCTAGTCATTGCTGTTTTCACTATAAATCCATGCTTTTGGAGTCCCATTACATATATACACAGCCGTTGCCAAGTGGGAGTAGCTCTTCTGCTGACAAAAGGGTATTGTGGGATGGACAGGAAGTGACCTCCTCTCCTTTCTTGAGCCTCTTTTATACATTCCAGCTCAGCCCAGCTTTCAGATTGTTCTACAGGGCTGAGTGCTTCTAGACAATGCTTTATTTCCTAGGATTTGGTATAGCTGAGTTTGTTTTTAAGTGTGGAAAAGAGTGATTATGAGAAACATTTGAGAAGACAGCACGGTCCTCAGAGACTGTGTCCTTACACTTGGACAGGTAGCAAATGTTTGTTTTGATTAAAACTTTAATAGTTTTCCTAATTTGTTTCACTGTCATAAGGCCCAGTAGTCTATTCTTAGAGAAACCATGGAGCTGAGGCTGCTTACCCTCTGGGAAAAATCATCCCTGAGAATATTAACTTTTTTAAGTTTTGTTTTTTTCCAACTCAGATTTTTATTCCAGTCCTGGAAGGCCTAACATTCAGTGTCATGAAATTCGTCATCTATACCATAGGCAGGAGTGGCTAAATTTCTTTTACTCTGCAGAACTGACTTGGAAAATATTTTGTACTCTCTGTTTGTTGGGAGTAATTTGAGAAATAATTGACTTTACCACAGAATCCCCCCCATCCTCTGGGTCAGTGAAGTAGCCTCAGGGTATATTGTCTAAGAGTGGGCTTTAGGGTTGTATAATCCTGAGTTTGAAAGTTGGTTGTTACTCGTTAAACTATGTAACCTTGGACATAGTTAATGCACCTTTCTGCATCTGTTCCCTATCTTTAAGTATAATGGTGCTTGCCTCATGGAACTGTTACGAAGATTAAGTGGCACACACATGATATATACACAGTGCCTGGCAGATAATAATGGGTTCAGTAATGTTAATTTAGACGTTTCTTCCCTGCCTTTTTACCCCCAGTTCAGATTGAGCGTATCCTCTATGCTCTATGGGAGCCAAAACCCCATAAGCTTTTAGAAAATATATTAAACAGTATAAATTTCTAGTAGTTCTAGAAGACATGCTGTCAGTGACTGGAATTTGTACTTATTTTTGAAAGATGGATAAAGACAAGATGACTGTGGAGAAATAAATAGAAAAATAGCCCAAATCGCATGCCAGGAGTAAGTTGCTGTGAGGTGGGAACTGCTTAGAAGGAGATTTTTGACCCAGAAGTAGTGATAGGACCTGGGCATTTGGGTGATAAATTTGGACTCATTTTGGAATAGCTGAGTGAGATTGTCCTCTCCTGTCCTCTTACGCCACCAGAGCCGCCTGCCTTCAAGTAGTGGTGTTTCATTCTATTCTGTAGCAGTGGATAGGAACTCTAGTGGGAACTTCTGAGCATGCCCCAGGTGGTCACTGATTCCCAGGAGGAACTGGGAGGTGAGGAAAAATGTGCTGGCCTTTAGATTTAAATATTCCTGGAAAGCTTTGTAGAAGCCTGAAAATAGACTCACACCGCTATCCATTGTGGTGAAATGTCAGAATATTGAAAACATAAAAAGGAAAATCTAAAAGTTATACACCAGCACCAGAGGTTCCAGTCAGAGTAATAGGCAAGAAGTAAACAAAGGAATACAGATTGGAAAGAAAAGGTAAAACAGTCTCCATTTGTAGATGACGTACTTATGTCTATAGAAAATCCTACTGAATAAACAAGAAAAAACCTATAACAAAGTAGTTTCACAGGCTACAAGGTCATTATATAGTAGTTTATTGTGTTTCTATATACTAGTAATGAAGAACTGGAAATTAAAATTTTATAAGGTACTATCTTTAATCATTTCCATCTGAGACTGTCAGCCTGGCCTTCGCTGTCCATATTTCTATCAGTATTTTGGTCAAAACCATTTAACAAGTCTCTTAAGAAGTTCTGAACTTTCCCTCATCTTCCTGTTGTCTTCTGAACCCCTGCAAACTCTTCCAACTTCTGCCCATCAGAAAACATTAATTCTTAGGAATAAACTTAACAAATTGTATTTAAGAATGGTATGTCAAAAATAACTAAACACTGCCAAGAGAAAATCAAGACAAACCTAAATAAATGGAGAGAGAGATGCCACGTCAGTAATAGATTGAAAGATTCAGTGTTGGTGGTGGAACAGATGGAAGTTCTCCCGAAATTGATCTGTAGAGTCAGTGTAATACCACAAGTTTTTTTGTTGTTGTTTTTTGCAAAAGCTTAAAAGGCAAAAACCAGACCACCTACAAGTAAGAAAGAAACCGATTCCGAATCTCTTAAATACAGCACTGGATATTAGAATACATGGAAGAATAGCTTTAAATGTTTGAGAGGAAAATGGTTTAAATCTAGAAATTCCTTTCCTAAAGGAATTACTCAAGGATATATTCTTGGAAAAAATCTAAGAAAATGGAAAGATAAGAAACAGCATAAAAAATTCAGTCCAAAAGATGCTGATTTGTGATATTGAACATTAACTAGTCAGCTGAAAATCCCTGGGAATCTCATGATGGGAATTGGCGGAGCTGCAGAGGAAGGAAGGAGAATGGTATGTAGTTCTTATTTGGAGAGAGGCTGTAGTACTCAGTATAGTGCCTTTTAACGTAGATAATGAATATTGTTGAATAATTGCATCCAGATTAACTCTATATTGATAGAAAAGAAGTAGGCTTAAATATGTTTTTAAATCTCTAGAATAGAAACAGGATGTTTTCAAACAAACAAGGACACAAGAACAAAAACTCCATCAACCAAAACAAAAAGGTGTTTTGTTTTTTTCCCCCTTGGGACTTGAAAGTAAAAAGCAAAAGTGACCTGCTTGCAAATAGAATGAATGACCTTCAGTAATGTTCACATAAACAGATCTTTCGTATGACAGCACTTGCCCTGCCAAGTGTCAGGCCACTGGGCAAATAAAAGGAGGGTGGAGTGTAGGTCTTGAACACTAGAGAGGCCAGGTGTTTGGACTAACCTGTAGCATTTTATGTTTCTTGCAGATGTTCCCACAAGCCTGCATTTCCAGAGCATGCTGAAATCTCAGTGGCAGAACAAGCCTTTTGACAAAATCAAACCTCCCAAAAAGTTATCGCTTAAGCACAGAGCACCCATGCCGGGCAGTCTGCCAGATCCAGCTCGTAAGGACAGGCACAAATTGGTCAGCTCCTTCCTAACAACAGCCAGTAAGTGTCAGGGAGTCAGGAAGTCCCCCAGAGTATCAGTGACTTTTCATTCCTTTTATATTCTCAAATTTGTAGTTTGCATGCATGTTGGGGGTGGGAGAGGCAGTTGACTGACACAAATTCAGCTCACAGTGACTGCTTCTGCTTGTCTTGGATGCTCTCAGATGGACTTCGGGAGCTATTCTAGACACCATGGATCTTGGAGCAAGACCCAAAATGCTCAGTGAACAGCCAGCAATGGCATAGCATTGGGTTCATCTACGGTCAGGTGTCTTCTGTATCCTGGTGACATGTTTCTCTGGTTCTGGGCTCCCTGTGCCTATCCTAGCCATTGTGCAAATTACTAGAAACTTCAGTCCTGAAGGACTGTCCTGCTGCCCTGGGTATACAACATTGGCCTAGAGAGAACTCGAGAGCTTGGAACTCAAATAAGAAAATATTTGAGAGGACATATTTCACAGCTCTTTTTCTGTTCCCCTCTTCAGAGCTGTCCCATCACCAAACCCGGCCTGACAGGACCCACAGGCAGCACTTAGACGATGTGGGGGCCGTGCCCATGGTGGAGCGAGTGACAGCGCCAAAAGCAGAGCGCTTGCTCAACCCACCGCCACCCGTGCATGACCCAAACCACAGCAAAATGAGATTGCGAGACCATTCATCTGAGAGAAGTGAAGGTAGGGCCAGGCCCGTGGCACCTCTACCTGCAACTGCACCTGCTCAGGGCTTTCTGGGGCAGCCTAGGCTTCTCTTAATTGCCCCCAGCTTTGTCCTTCACTTTCTAGGAAGGCAGAGTAGAGGGACGCTACTGCTTCTAAATGCAGGTCACTTCTTAACTGCTACAGCAACCTCTGCCCTGCCGCTACTTCCCACAACTAGTGTGCTTCACCTTTTTATCCTCTAGGCATAGAAAACATTTTTGCCTTTAGTATGTATTGCTGCCATTCCAAGCTTGTGTTAGAAGTAACGCTGGTTAAGATAGCCATGTATTTCTCTTTTCTGTTGACTTCTGCAGTGTTGAAACATCACACAGACATGAGCAGTTCGAGCTACTTGGCAGCCACCCACCATCCTCCACACAGTCCCTTGGTGCGACAGCTCTCCACCTCCTCAGACTCCCCTGCACCCGCCAGCTCTAACTCACAGGTTACAGCCAGCACATCGGTAAGTACCTGTGTGCAGTTGGCCGGACACCCCCTCTGCAGGTCACAGCTCACTCAAGTGGCTCCAGAGGACAGTGTGAGGGTGGGTTGTAAAGCCCAGGGCATTTATAGGAACTCAGCTCATCATGATGTATATATGTATGTCTGTACCATTTTTAAGTCAAAGTCATGGTACTTGACCTTCTGTTGTTTTTCTTGAGTTTTTCATAGGAGAGATGGATTTATACTGAGCCATCCATAGAAAGCTTGATGCAGGGACAAACTCTTAAGGTGATCTGTGACTATTCAAGATCTGTTGGACTAAGTTTCACAGAGGACTCAACAATTCCATGGCCCTAATCCTTTTGGCCCAAGAAGTGAACATGAGAGGAGGGGTAGAGGGGAGATTCCCATGGGCATTGGAAGCAGTGTTTGATTTCCTTGGTTTTACTTTCCGGGTGAGTGGAGGTGAAGTACTGAGAATAAACACTAGGCTTGAGGGTACCAGAAGAGAAGGGAAGGGAGAAGGCAGAGTCCATGCTTTTTAGGTATACAGAGCAGAATTACAGATCCAGAAGGCCCCCATGGCAGGACATTTGGCGTGCACACACCAGATTTTACAATAGCACACTCCATTTGGAAGCAGTTTGCACAGCTATTCCAGAGACATTTCCTTTAATTTCATTCTAATATTCCTCAAGTGTGCCCTCTTTGAACATATATACCTGTAGCTGCTCTGTACCTACTCAAAAGGTCCTTTTTGTATAATAATTATAATGTAATGGTAAATGTAAAACTCTATAATGTTTATTGAACACTTAGTACATGCCAGTGATCAGTGATTTACATGTGTTACATGTTACAGTGCCTTTTGAGATGTAGGTTAGTACTGTGGATTTCATTTTGTATGAGTGAAAACTGTGAAGGCAGCTTGTGAGGGTTATAATTATGATTCAAACTCAGGCAGCCTGACTGTAGAGCCAGCTCTTTTAACATTACACTACACAGGCTAAACCTGGGTGAGGGTATTGCAGAGGCAACTTAGGAAGTTCCTTCACAGCCTAGATCAGGAAACTTCCAAGCTCATAAAATGGACTCACTAGGCTCCTGTGATCAGGTAGGAATTCACACTGTTCTCTCTTTGCTGTTAAAAATCAATCTTTTCCAAATGGTCTCTTTGCTCTTCCCCTTTCTTTATCCCCCTCACCCACAAATTTTATCTAAATAGGTGTGTAGTGTCCCTCACATACTCAGTTATCCAGCAGCAAAGAGTTTCAGTATTTATAAAAGAGAGTCTAATTCTGATAGAAAATCTGAAGTCAGAGATTCAGGACTTAGTGAGCACTTCAATATTTCTGTGTCTGGAGAATGTTAAATTAGGCCTGGATCACTTGAAATTTTTACTATTTATTGAGTAAAAATTTTGTGTATAGCCCTATGCTAACCCTTGACGCTCTCAAAGACACTAGATTTCTGTAAAAGAAGATAGGCCAGGCGCAGTGGCTCACACCTATAATCCCAGCACTTGGGGAGGCGGCTGAGGCGGGTGGATCACTTGAGGTCAGGAGTTCAAGACCATCCTGGCCAATAAGGTGAAACCCCATCCCTACTAAAAATACAAAAATTAACTGGGCATGGTGGCATGTGCCTGTAGTTCCAGCTACTGTAGAGGCTGAGGCAGGAGAATCACTTGAACCGGGAAGTGGAGGTTCCAGTGAGCGGAGATCAAGCCATTGCACTCAAGCCTGGGTGTCGCAGTGAGACTCTGTCTCAAAAAAAGAAAATTGGTTCTGGACCTCCCGTAGATAGCAAAATCTATAGTTGCTCACGTCCCTAATATAAAATGGCACAGTATTTGCATATAATGTATGCATATGCTTTAAATCCCATATACTTAAAATCGTCTCCAGATTACTGATAATACCTAATGCAGTGTAAATGTTATATAAATAGTATGCTGTATTGTTTAAGGAATAATGACAAGAAAAATCTGTACCTGTTCAGTACAGACACAATTTTTCCCCCCCAAATATTTTCAATCCACAATTGGTTGAACCCATGGATACAGAGGGCCAGCTGTCCTTGAAATCAGGGAAAGAAGCCAGAGGCCACTGGAGAAAGGTAGGGAGGAGGGGGAGTGTTTGAGTGCTTCCCAAAAGCCAGTAGCTGCATCAGAATCACCTCAGCAGCTTTAAAAAACAAAACAAACCAACCAAACACTTCTAAAGATCTGATTTGTTGCTGGGTGTGATCTTGCATGCTTATAGCTCCAGCTACTCAGGAAGATCTCTTCGGCCCAGGAGATTGAGTCCAGCCTGGGCAATACAGTGAGACCTCATCTCTTAAACAAACAAACAAAAAGATTCTGATTTTATAAAAGAGCAGGGGGAGTCCTAGAACCTTTTTTTTTTTTTTTTTTTTTTTATAAATACTCCTTAATCTTGCTTCTGATATACAACCAAGTTGGGGAATCAGTTTTATTCTCATCACCTGCTCTCTATCTCTGGCTCTAAATAGGAGATACTAGTTAATTTACACCAAATGAGTAGCTGACAGAATTGGGGGTGTGTCTAGGCGGAGGATGACATACAGAGCCAATTGAACCATCCCACAACCTGCTCCACTATCTTTTTCTGGAAGGTTCTAACAACAAGCCCAGGAAGTTTCAGGGAAAGTATATACCTGTTTCTGCCAGCAGTTTCACATTTATTCACATTTATACTGGGAAGGCTCTCTCTCTTGAGGCTTTCTTAAGATGCATTTCTTGTAGTGGGATGTATAATTGCAGCAGAGATCTGGCAGTGGCAGAGGTCTCTGGGTATGAGATCATTAATCCTCAGCTACAGAACTCAGGCAAGATTCCCAAAAGTCTGTTTAACCATTTTGGTTAACCAGATATCCTAAATTTCTGAGGTCACTGACAGTCATCTAATTTGATAGAGAAAGAAATTGAAGTGAAAAGGGCATTGTGGTCATCTGAAATTATAAATGACAGTGACTGAAACTCTGGCCCAGGAATTGCTGACTTTCAACATTCTCTGAGAATGTCCTAAGATGATAGGATAAATAAATTGCATCTCACCCTCCAGGAACAGAGGATAGAGTGGTTAGTTGTAGGGGACTTCTTCCACCACCAACCCCTTCCCGGTGGGCTGACCACACTTAGTGGTTTAGGTGTAAATGCAGCCTCTTAGGTGTTTTCCAGCTGTTTTGTTGCCATGACAGCGTGTTTGTTATGCCACTGTTTGACTCTGGCCTCTCACAGCTCAGTTGCTCGTTTGTTTCAGGATAGGGTATTAACTATCTGGGCAGCAGCAGATAGTAGACTTTTTCTTCCATCCAAGAGACTTAAGCCATTTAGTTCCCTGGTCTCCCAGCTACTGTAGATGCCTACCTCTGCCTCTGATATTCGATCCTTGGAAGTCTTATTTTTCTTAAGAGTTTGGTCTTCTCAACTTCCTATAGAAGCAAATTTCCTTTCACCAGGAATGTGAAGTATAGTCAGGTTCTCCTCTTCAGTTTCCCTCCATTCATCTCCTTTGATACAGCTAGAAAGCTCTCAGATGTTTCCCCAAGAATCACCAAAAGAGGGGAAATCACATAAAGACTGAGCAGATGGTGGGTGCAGATTTAGCAGAAGAGTTCAGATCTTCGAGAAGGAGGTGCATTCATGACAACCAAGGTTAGATGATCTATTGAGATTGGCCTACCCTTTGGGCATCTTTCAGGATAAGCTTTCAAGCATTGCTTTTTGGGGAGGGGCCACTATGAGTGTCAAGTCATAAATGGGGATAAAGGAGGGCAATGAGGATTGTAAAAGGAGAGGTGGTTAATAGAGGTGTATATGGAGTAGAAACCCCAACAGTTAAGATCCCAGGTACCCACCCCTATGAAATTTACACATGAGCCCTTGAAGGAAGAGGGTGACCAGTGGGACTTATGAATAGGAATAACTCCTCACAACCACCTAGTATTTCTCCGCAAGGTTTTTGCTGTTGAAGACTGACTCCTAGGTGGGAGCAGCTCCTATGGTCACTGCTCAGCTTCAACCCAAGGACCCAGATGCCTGGTTATTGGTGATCCTGCTTTAAGTCTTAGATGAATGATTTGATGTCTGTAAAATTGTACCTCCCTTTTAAACTTAATTTTTATCTTACAGCAGCAGCCAGTTAGGAGGAGAAGGGGAGAGAGCTCATTTGATATTAACAACATTGTCATCCCAATGTCTGTTGCTGCAACAACTCGCGTAGAGAAACTGCAATACAAGGAAATCCTTACTCCCAGGTAGAAGCTCAGAATAGTTGGTCCCTCTCCCCATTCTTCCTGCTATTGCCCTTTTTCCCTGTTCTCTTCTGACCTAGACTTGGGCCCTTGTCTTTGGTTCTGTCTTCTCATTAAGAGAAATTCTTATCTGATAAGAACAAAATTATTTATGTATATAGTTTTCTCTCATTCCATTATAGGAATACACCAAACAAGCCAGCAGTCACAGCCTGGTAGGCCACTCACTCACTGGTCTAGAGACAGGTTTTGTCAACACATACAGTATGTTTTAAAATACTGAATTTGGCCGGGTGCGGGGACTCACGCCTGTAATCCCAGCACTTTGGGAGGCCGAGGCGGGTGGATTACAAGGTCAGGAGATCCAGACCATCCTGGCTAACGTGGTGAAATCCCGTCTCTACTAAAAAAAACACAAAAAATTAGCTGGGCATGGTGGTGGGTGCCTATAGTCCCAGCTACTTGGGAAAATGGCGTGAACCTGGGAGGCAGAGCTTGTAGTGAGCAGAGACCGTGGACCACTCTGCTCCACCCTGGGCGACAGAGCGAGACTCCGTCTCAAAAAAAAAAAAAATTGCTGAATTTGTTGTCAACATCAAAGCAGGATTTCACATAAAAATTTTTGTTTCCGGCTTTTGTTGCCAAACAGAAGATTAGGCAACCCTGGATGTGCATTTCCAGATGGGAGCAGTCAGCTGGTCCTGAACAGTGGTGGTCCCCTTTAAACAGGTTTCTTTTCTTGAGTTTGTCACAGTCTCTCAGCCTCAGCCCTACCCTAAGCCGCTTCTCTCATTTCTGGCCGTTGTGGGCATTTGAGTAGGTGGCCAATTTCACAGGCCTTGATGGGGTAAGGAGACTGAGCTGTGATAGAGCAGAGTCTACCTGGCAGAGAGCAGTGTCACCCACGGGTGCAGGATTCTCATCCTTGCATGGACACTTTGACCCTGCCCCCGGTTGTAGCCTGCTTGCCGTCTCATGATTGTCTACTCTTGGTTTTGCAGCTGGCGGGAGGTTGATCTTCAGTCTCTGAAGGGGAGTCCTGATGAGGAGAATGAGGAGGTAATGGCCTGGTTCTTCTGTTAGAAGAACACGTGTGTACACATGCACGCGCGCACACACACACGAGTGCACACACACTAAATGGCCTCAAGACCTGTGGATGTCAAGTGCAAGCTCCTTGTATTCTCTTGTGACCGGGAAGAACCTAGAATGGGGTGGGACTGGTTCTTAACTCCTGGAGAAAAGACGAGATCGATCAAGCTGCTCTATTGCAGATTGAAGACCTATCTGACGCAGCTTTCGCCGCCCTGCATGCCAAATGTGAGGAGATGGAGAGGGCACGGTGGCTGTGGACCACGAGTGTGCCACCCCAGCGGCGGGGCAGCAGGTGATGGGGCAGGCATGGGTCCCCGGGGCCTGTGGAGAGAGGGTGGACAGGGAGTTTGGGCCCTACTTGAGTCTGTGGAATTGCTACTGCCTCTTGGTTGCTCATCATACTCATCTACTGGCAGTGGCAAAGAGCTCAGAAGTTCCTTGGTGTTTGTTGGAACTGGTGGAGATACAAGGAGCCAAGTGCTGGATCCTTGCTGAGGAGTCACTGTTCAATTCTGATGAATTCCCATGATCTGTGGCATTTGGAAGACAGTTGGGGGGTCTTAGTGATTCAACCAGGGGAGCTTGGAAGGCCTCACTACAAGTTAACCTTCCTTTGGACAGTGGCTTTGTGATGTCACTTGAAGAAACTGCCCCCCTTAACGTCCATCACTACCCTGTCTCCATTTATTGTTAACAGTGGCAGAAACCCTTGGGATTCTCAAGTAGAAAGTTTTGCAAACTCTTGTTTTACTTTTTTTTCTTAGACTACAGTTTTCAAAGCCTACACGAATCTCCCTAACTTCCTGAATTCGCTAGGCACTTTGCTGTGGACTCGCCCGTTGCACTGTTCAGCCGTGCTTTTTTCTTGGGATGGTAGATGTTGTATACCTACCCCTCCAGAGAGTAGTGGAAAGAAATGAGAGTTGCTGGATCCTAAGGAAAATCTGTTGGTCTTTGTTTGCCTCAACTCCTCCAGTCCAGTGGGGATGCTTTTTTCATGCCCTTTACCCCCATAAGTAAACATTTCCCAGGCACTCAGATTTGCATTCCTTGGTGTACAGGTCCTACAGGTCATCAGACGGCCGGACAACCCCTCAGCTGGGCAGTGCCAACCCCTCCACCCCCCAGCCTGCCTCCCCTGATGTCAGCAGTAGCCACTCTTTGTCAGAATACTCTCATGGTCAGTCCCCTAGGAGCCCCATTAGCCCGGAACTGCACTCAGCGCCCCTCACCCCTGTGGCTCGGGACACTCCGCGACACTTAGCCAGTGAGGATACCCGTTGTTCCACGCCAGAGCTGGGTCTGGATGAACAGGTAAGGGACATAGCCCTTGGGTGGGGTTGGCATGGTTGGGGGATGGAACCAGGAAGGGACAGCATCTGCTGAAGAGACCTACATCATAAGCCATCCCCTTCCCTTTTGAAGGGACAAAGGGCCGCACTTAAATTGACCTCCTCAACATTCAGTGGAACTATATTTATCTTTGCTAAATGGTCAGTACGGTTGTCTGGGTACACCCTAGGAGGGGTGTTCCTGGACTGTCCCAGGAACGCTAGATAGACTGGTCCTAGTCTCCGGCCACAAGGTTTGTGGCAGGGCCTTGGAGCAGGAAGCAGGCTGGCTGGGTCTGGGTCCTCACAGAGCAACTTGTCTGCCTACAGTCTGTCCAGCCCTGGGAGCGGCGGACCTTCCCCCTGGCGCACAGTCCCCAGGCGGAGTGTGAGGACCAGCTGGATGCACAGGAGCGAGCAGCCCGCTGCACTCGACGCACCTCAGGCAGCAAGACTGGCCGGGAGACAGAGGCGGCACCCACCTCGCCTCCCACTGTCCCCCTCAAGAGTCGGCATCTGGTGGCAGCAGCCACAGCTCAGCGCCCAACTCACAGATGAGCGGGAGACAAGAATCTAAACAGACTCACTAACTATTGGCATTAAAGCTTCAGAAATCTCTGCGTTTGATATTCAAACATCATATGCCGGAAATTTTCACAGTTTTTAGTGAACTTAAGGAATTTAGATCCTACTTTGGTATTTTTTTCTCTCGTTTTAATTTTTGTTTTTTGTTTCCATGTTTTCTTGTCACACACCTGAGCACTTCCTCCCGTTGGCAAACAGAAGTTCAGGATGAGACCCTGCTGGCCTGGTCCTGGCACATCCTCTGCACTGTTGAATCACTGGACTTACCAATCTTAGATGACCACACCCCCTCCCTCACACCTGTGGGCAGGGCAGAACAGCCTGGCGGGCAGAGGGCTCCAGTTGAGCATGGCCTTCTCGGGCTAGGGTGGAATGGGGCAGGGTGCTCTGGGCTCTTACCCCTTCCCCTCCCATCTGTGGCTGGGCTCAGCTGTGGCCCTCCTGGCTGGGTCCCCCCTTGGTTTTTCGTGCTGGAACATCCCCACCAGAGCCTCTCTGCCGTAACTGCCAGCTGCTCTCACCAAGTGCTCAGCCGGCAGAACAGCTTTCCCTTCTCACCCAGAACTTAGAGACCTATTTTTTGTTTCATCTGCATTTGGTCTTCTCTGTTTTGACTCTTTAACTGCAGTAACCTGGCTGTGGCTGCTCAGGTTCCCTTCATCATGCCCCTTGGTACCCTTCCCTGTCCGTTCTCCAATGCCACATACACACCCACAACCCGTCCTTCCACTCGGAATGTTTTTTTTACCACCTATCCTGATCTCTGAAGGTAGGGTTAGGACTACTTAACCTCTGTTCCCACTCCCCTGCAAACGGGGTTGTGGGAAGTGAGCAGCCATCTCCCTGTGTGATTTTTTTTTTTTTCCTCTGATTCGCTTTGCCATGTTTCCTTCACATCCAGATCCCTGTCGGTGTTAGTTCCACTCTTGGTCTTTCACGCTCCCCTTGCCTGTGGAACATTGTCTGGTCCTAGCTGTGGTTCCCATTGTTCCCCCTTCACCCTTCTCTGTTAACCTTGTGCCTGTCTCCTGTATGATCACATCACCAAAAAGGGGGAGGGGGGAGAAGACTTTTTTTTTGGCCATTTTGTAATCGTATAAAAATAGTAGACAACTGCTTAATGGTTGGGGTTTTTTCACAATTTTCAACATTAGTGATTTTTTTTTTCTGTTTGCAAGTTAAAGGGTTTGTCATTGTTTCTTTAAAGAAAAAATACAATAATGCACCATATCCCTATGCATAAAGTGCTTCTTCTATTTATAAGGTTGAAAATTCTGAATAACCCTTTTAGCATTGAAAAAAAAAAAACAAAAACAAAAAATGAAAAAAAAAAAAAACTTGTATTTTGTAAATATTTTCTTTTCCTGCTTTGGAGCTGTGTAATGGCAGCGAAACATGTAGCTGTCTTTGTTCTATAGAAATGCTTTTCTTCAGAGAAGCTGATCTTTGTTAATGTCTTGATTCTGTTCGCAAAGCACAGACTAGTGCTTAAAAAAAAAAGAAGGAAAAATTGAAAAAAATAAAAAAAAAAAAGTTACAGAATGCTGTGTACCAGGCCTTTCTTGACTTACTGAACTGTGTATGTATGGTAGTGTTGGCAGCTTCGGAGCTGGCTGGCTGGCGCCATTCTTTGAGGTACTCTAACTTGCTCTATACCTTGGGAAATCTCCATTCTGTCTTGTGGGAATGCCGCAGGTTCATCTGATGGCCACCAGAGAGACAATGGTGGTGGCTTTTCACTGAGGGTAAGGGCTGCCAGGAGGTGAGGGGATCTGTATTGATCGTCTCCTTTTTCTTTTTGTTGAGTGAAAGCAGTTGATCCACTTTCTCTCTAGTGAAGTCAGCTGTATGATATTTTCTCTCCGTTCTACATTGCTCTTTAAAGGAGATTTTGCTTCTCACCGTTAAATTTTTCTGAGGTTTGGTGGGGGTCAGTGAGATAGATAATTTGCATAGAGCCTGAGTTGGTTCTTGCCTGCTGCCTGAGATTATAGCATCTTTCTTCTGAGGAGGTTACATGCTTTTCTTTTTTTATTTTTTGAGATGGGATCTTGCTCGATGGCCCAGGCTGGAGTGCAGTGGTGCAATCTTGGCTCACTGCAGCGTGGATCTCCTGGGCTCAAGAGATCCTCCCACCTGAGCCTCTCCAGTAACTGGGACTGTAGGCTTGTGCCACCATACCCAGCTAATTTTCCTGGGTTTTTTGTGGAGATAGTGCCTCACTATGTAGCCTAGGCTGCTGGTAGGTGCTTTTCTTTATACAAGATGAGTCAGTGGGTGGGGCTGGTTCTCCCTCTGCTCTCTTCTTTGCATGGCAGTCAAGCTGAAACAGCCAGTGAGGCTGTCTCTTGTGGCTCTGAAAGCCATGCTTTCTGAGATAGCACTTCTCTTTTGTGGGCCTGTTGCTGCTTCTGTAGCTGCAGTTAAAATCTGTTCTACTTAAACATCTGCCTGCAGTGGTAAACACATCAGGAAGATCAAAGAAAAGTAGTATTTTGAAACAATCTAAGGATTCGGTGTCACGACCTCGGCGTAGTTACTAAGGAATAATAATGATGGATTGCTGTTTTGTTTTTGTTTTCCTTTGTGGCATTGCTAGGAGGACGCTATCTGGTATCCCTATCTTGGTTTAGCAGAAATGCTCCTCAATCTATAATAAGGTGCCAAAGGAAAGAAGAAGGCAGCTCTGTAAACCTAGCAGGAATGTAAGCCACTCATTAAGCTGATTGGCTTGGTGAAATTTAGGCCTCTGGACTAAATTTCCAGGGACGAAAGATCCCATATCCTCATCCCCAACCTTCTCAGGTTTGCATACACTGGCACCGGTCTTGCAAACTGAGTGTCGCATCGTGAGGTCAGCCACAAGGCTTTGTATTGCCCTTTGAATTGGACTAGGATGGTTTGCCAGCATCACAATGAGAGTATCAGCTGCAAATGATCAAGTCTGAGAACTCTCACCTTCAGGGCCCCAGAGAGAGCTGTTAATCCTGATGTCCAGCTTTTAATAATGTCATTTCCTGTTCTGGACTAAATTCTCTAAGGGTGAGTGGGAAAGAACTTAAAAAATAGACATTCTATATCACTTTCTTGTCCTTGGAATCCATGAATGGAGACCTTATATTTAATCAGAGTAATAACTTTATTTCCAAATTCACTTTTACGGCAACAGTCAGTGTAAATCATTTGTTAAAACACACAATACACTATATAGACATTCACAGACAGGAAGCTAAGCTAAGATGATTTCATGTCCCTCCCCCCACCCTCACAATTACCGAAGAAATCATGGGACTTGCAAGTGCCAGAAATTGTCCTGCTCAACATGGCAAACTCATGGGGGTAAGTCTATTAGGAGGTGAGACTCTAGGCCAGTGCCCAGGGTAACCCTTTTCAAAGCTGAAGAGAAATCAGAAGTCTTACGAAGCCACAGGTCTGTAGATGGGACACGCTGGTGACCACCTCTGCCCTCGCCCTGACCTCGTGGCTTGACTTGGAGCTCCAACAAAGATGAGGAGGGGGAAGTGAGTGATCTCAGCTGCCAGAAGCACAGGCTGTGTCTGGAGCCAGTGTGAGAGGTGGCACAGAGGTGCCAACGGCTTAAAAGGAAGGATGCCAGGGTCTTAGGGAGGCATGATTGTGGGCTTAGGACCCCTGAAAGAGGGCAGCAGGCCAAAGCAACCAGATGTCCATATTGCTACGCCTGCACCTGGCTGGGGAGGGAATGGGGAACTGGCCAGCTGCCTGGGAAAGGCTGTCAGTGGAAAAGAGAAACCCCAAGGGCCTCTAACCGCGTGGCTGCTCCCTCCCTTTAGCAAATGTGGTTGAAATGATGAAAAGGGTTACGAGGCAATTGAAGTGCTGCACCCCAAGATCTCCCTTTACCCATGTTAACTATGTTACACATTCCTCCCCCCTCCCCCCATAGCACAATAAGCAATAGCAAACAGGATACAGTCTCACCATTGAAGTCAATTTAAATGGAACTATTGATAAAGTGAGTCAACAGCTTGAAGGAGCCGGCATACAGTATATCCTATCTAGCCCACCCACGGACACTGGCTCTGCAGGTGGGAGAAGTGAGGGGAGGGGAGGAGTGCCCAGCCCTGGGGGGATTGTCATTTGAGGTCACAAGCCAGCGTGCCTTTGCAATTTATCTGCCAGCACTGATCACCCTAAACCATGATCTTAGGCTGGCCCCAAGAGCCTGCCCCACAAGGGGGAGATCCCAGAGCCTACCGGATAAGGCCCACGGTGCTGAAGAGCAGGGCACAAGAACTTCAGGAAGAGGAACCGAGGTACGTGAAAAATGCAGCCGAAACTGTTGGCAGTAATGAGGGGGGCATGTCTCTAACCACCACCAAATCTCTACCCCACATTTCCTCCTCATTCTCAGATCCCTTCACTTAGAGAATTGCTGGGACTTAGCGAACAGCAGGGAGCTTCCTGGTGGAGAGTTCTGGGCCCAGAAACTTCTTGCAGGGAAAGCTCTAGCTGCACACGAAGTTGCCAGCCCTAGGGGATGCCCTGGATTTCTACTGCCAAGTCCCTCAGGGTTGCCTTTAACTGTACCCAAACCAGAAGCGGCAGAATTGAGCCTGAGGCTGCTGAGTTTCTTTAGGCAGCAATTTTTTGCAAAGGCGGCTTCCCTTTTCTCATGGCAGCAGATGGAGTTTGTGCAAGGTCAGTGGGCTGAGGTGCTCTGGTCAAGGCTTTGGGAACGGTGTCTCCTGACTTATCCTTCCTCAGGCAGGTGGCTCGGGCCTCTGGAGCAGATCCAGGATAGGCAATTCATCCCAATCCCTGCTGTGGTCGCAGGGCCCTTGGTGGGAGGCTGGCTGCCCCTCCAGAGGGCGAGCTTGGCGAGGAACCCAGTCTGCGGGGTGGCTGAGGCTCATGGAGCTTCTGGGAGCTGCAGATCCCCCCAGCTGGCACTGGCTTCCTTCTTCTTGTGATGCAGGAGTTGTAAGCCTCCTTTAGGACTGCTGTGGGACTTCGGGCTGTGACCAGAGAGAACCATCCTCGTGCCGCAAGCCAGACCAGCCACAAGACCTACTCTCTGCCCTGACACAGGGAGCCCCAAGGGGAAGTAGGGAAGGAGATGGCATCGCTTCAGTCCTAATCCTGTGCTTCAGGCCTTCTTCACAGCTGAACGGCCTCCTTAGATGCTAGAATCTGGTCTCTGTTGGGTCCCGGATGCTGAGGAAAGCCTTTCAAACCTTGGGAGGCCCCAGCAGGGCGGCGCCACACAGGCCACACGCGTCCCAGCGTGGGGGTGAGAGACACCTTGTGAGGGTGGGTTAGAAACCTCTTTACAAGCATTTCAAGATACATGCGTCCTTTTTTTTTTTTTTTTTTTCTTTTCACTATCATAGTCACTCTGGTGAATCCAAGCATAAACAGACAAATCCAACTACAACGCAACAGGGTGCAGATGGGGAGGGCAGGGCAACATCTATGTATATGTTCAGCTGCTCCAGCAGAACAGACAGCATGGCTTCCAGCTGGGACCGGGGAGAAAACCATTTCGAAGGGGGTGTGTTCCCCTTTTTGGGATGTGGAGGGCTGATTCTACACATGTGGAGCTGAGCAGCGGGCTGGGCTGTCTGGGAGGCTGGCAGCCACAAGCTGGGGTGCAAGTGGGGGACAGCGGGACTGTGGGCCTGCCCTGGGTGCCTTGCCCGCCCATCCTGGTGCCGTCACCGACAACCAGGACACCCAGCCTCCTGCTGCGGGCTCAGCACGGGAAGAGGCCAGGCCTTCTCGGGGGGAAAGGGCTCTCTCTATGTCAACAAGGCAGAAACACCGAGGGTCACAGCTGAGCAGTGCCCTGGCTCACATCTGTGATGGGAGGAGGAGGCAGGGAACCGAATCAGGTCGTGAGATTCGTGGTGAGGGACCCAGTTGGATGAGTGGAACTGAGAGTGAGAGGCTGGGGTCCCACTCTTGTGCCTGGACTTTACCTTCCCTTAATTTCACCCTCAGTATGGAGTAGGTGCCTCCCACAGCCAACCAGGGTCCTTACTGAGAAGGGGGGTGGTGAGGCTGGGAATTTGGACGTTGTGACGTGATGAGGGGTATAGGCAGTGACTGGGTTCTCATGGCAGACGACAGCACAGTGGGGCAGACAGGGGTGACTGCAGTGGCCGTGGGAAGGACAGGGGGCTCGGGACCCGCCTCCCAGACCCCTGCACACTTCAGAGATGCCGGTGGCCCAGGCTTGGAAACGGGTGGACGTCTCCCAAGAGGCACAAGTCCTTACAAAGAGAACTGGTTAGCCCTAAAGTCCCAGGTCTGCAAAGTGGCCAAAATCATGGCTGCAGTTCCAACCTTCAGAACTCAATAAAACAGGGTTTCTGTGGAGCAGAGGGAAGCCCCTCTGCTCAGGCCCCCTACCCTGCAGGGAGGGAGGAAGAGGCCAGCGCCCTCCGACATCAAGGTCAGTCTTTTCCAAGGAGGTCATCCATGGGGTGCCACCCTCCCGCCAGCTTGCCTTCTCTTCTTACCCGCCGCCCCTTCTCCCACAGGCTGCCCTGCAGAGGGTG